CAGGAAGTCAAATAAAAAAGAAAAACCAAATTCTAAAACCAAATTAAAAAGAAACAGAGAAAAAGGATATCATTTATATGCATTTTGACATACATTTACCAAGAAGAAGGCAAACCAAGCACCTGTAGTTTAGGAGTGAATAAATCATAGTAACCCAAAATATATAACTTTATGGAAACTATACTGCCTTCAGCTCTTGGAGGAAAAGTAGGAAAGAAATCAAGTAACTAAATAAGTATCCCGTTTTCATTCTGCTGAGATACAAACTTTCTAGGTCACCTCAGACTGGTTTAGAAATTCAGAGGGGAATAAATTAAATTCCTTTTAACTTCTCTAACAACAGCAAAGCTAAGTTGCTTCAGAGAATTATGCAAGGAGATATCATACCAGTTCAGTTCAGCACGCACTTTCTATTTATGCTAAGAACTGCAAAAAAGCAGGGACTGAAAATTAGAAACCAGCTGAGAACTTAGAATAGTTGAACACAAGTGTTAGGGACCACATGTTGTTAGGCAGATTAATGAAGAAAATAAAGCAGTCCTTTTGGTATTAAAATAATATCATTAATCATGGGATTGATGATTAAAAATACATTTATTGCTTGCATTAGATTTCTGAAAATAAAAATGACTGAAAGTTATGATTTTTACTGCTATTATTATTATTATTCCACAAACTCTCTTCTATTATACATCCCCCTCAAAAAGGCTGCTGCCTAGAAAACCTACTGTTAACATCATCTAATTTTTAAAGCATAAGAGAATTGAGGGTCTCTCCCTTCTTACTGCAACTGTGAGTTTTATTAAATCGGTGCAAAGATTGTCTTCAAGGTATGTAAATATTTGTCTTACACTATGTAAGTTTTGGTCATTTTAACTGTTTACCTGAAAAAAATGACTTGGAGGGATAGAACAGCTTTAAATAACTAGTACAAAGCGAGTCTACGATACAGCAGCCTGTTTTACAGCAGCATGGTATGGGGCTTTGAAATTATTTTTGTATTTTTTTAGAAAAGGAGAAACAGACCACTTTTAAAATGAGCTTTACACCCACCACCACCCCAACTTTATGAAGGTAGACTATGTACAATCCAGTTCCAGTGATTTTTTTCCAGAACTACTTGGCTTAAGATATTCATTTTCTCCTCTTTCCATTTCCAGTCAGTGTTCTTCCCTTTTGCTCTTGTTTTCTCTTCTTTTTTCCATCCAGCACAAGTTTTGAGTAAGGAAGCACAAAGCAGGGAGAGGGATAGGTGCAATAAAAGTTCTGAATTTTATACAAAAAGTCTTGTTTTTCTTCTTCTTACCCAGTTCGGGGGGGGGGGGGGGAGCTAGACCTACTCTGCACCTGCAGTGTAATGACATGCTTAATTTAAAACAAAAAAGCAGAAGGTAATTGGACATGGTAAGGGGAAAAACACAGCTAACATAGAGTCAGGTATTGCATTCAGCTGGATTTAGCCTCCGGAAAATATACATTATGGAAACAAAAGGTATGATCTGATTGGAGATTATTTGCAACAGATTTTACTCTGTGCAAAATCTGCCATTATTTTAAATTGGGAAAATTGTAATTGTTCAATGAGAGAAAGCTGTATCTACCTGGATGTCTTTATTTAATGGGGGTTTTAAAGTTATTTTTTAACTTGCCTTTATTATTTTTATAAATACCTCGAGGCAGTGAACATACCTAATACTCCTTCCTCCTCCTATTTTCCCCACAACAACAACCCTGCAAAGTGAGTTGGGCCAAGAGAGAGATTGGCCCAAAGTCACCCAGCCGGCTTTCATGCCTAAAGTGGGACTAGAACTCACTGCCTCCTGCTTTCTAGCCTGGTGCTTTAACCAGTAGACTAAACTTCTGAGAAATTTAAAGAAATTCTAGTAATTTTAAATACGTGTGTGCATGCCCACAAATATTATCACATGTGTTTCAGGCTTGTCCCAGGGCTTTTTAATTACCTAGCATTATCTTTCAGTTTTGCTCAGAAATAATTCCGAAAATATTCAGTTGCTTATTCAGAAAATAAGTATTAAAATAAGTGTGAAAAAATACGGATGCAAATTCTGTTAGTTTGAATGACAAAAAGTTCAACTAAAATTCTCTTCATTTTATTTCTCTTTCCAACACTATGGATAGTATTGTATTAGGGTTAGAGTTATTGTATTAAACAGTAGGATGAATACAGCGACAGACACTTTAGGGGTAACATCATGCCAGAAGCAATCCAGGAATCTTTTCAGTTCTCCTGATATCAGCTCCCTATTCTTTTTAAGTATTAGCCTCTAATCATGTACATTTATTCAATCATATAATATAAATTTGCTTCAGTAGAATTTAATTCCAAGTTAGACCAGGTTGTAGCCTAAATACAATTGTTCAAATCTTAAGCCAGTTCAAAATTACTTATAGGTTTTGCTGCCTGCTAGCAATAAACCAACATAGTTACTCATTTGGGAACTCAGCAGATTTATCCTTGAAAGATTTCTATCACTTTATTAAATTCTTTTTACTCACTGATGGCAGTAAATTCCACACATTCATTTTGTGTTGTGCAAAAACAGAAAATGTTTTTTCCTTATCTATACTTTGGAATTTTGCAGGTTTGGGGGAAAAAAAAATATGGACATGATGTTTGAAGAAAATGCCACCACAGTTGTCCAGAACTTCATATTTGTAGGATTAACAAGCAGTCCTAAAATCCAGATCATCCTCTTTTTAATGTTCTTTGTCATTTATGTAACTACTTTGATTGAAAATCTAGGAATGGTTGCTTTAATAAGGGCCAGTGCCTGTCTCCATACCCCTATGTATTTCTTTCTCAGCAGCTTATCCATTCTGGATGCATGCTTCTCTTCAGTGTTTGCTCCAAAGATGTTAGTGAACTTTTTGGCAGATAAAAACACCATTTCCTTTACTGGATGTGCAATACAGATGTACTTCTTTATAGGCCTAGGGAGTGCAGAATGCTTTCTCCTCGCTGCAATGGCTTATGACCGGTATGTAGCTATCTGCAAACCCTTGCTGTACCCAGTCCTCATGTCTCCTACAGCCTGTATCCTTCTGGTGGCAGGCTCCTGTGTTCTTGGGCTTTTGCATTCTCTTATACATACTATCTTTACTTTCCAGCTCTCGTTTTGTGGTTCTGCTATCAATCATTTTTTCTGTGATATCACTGCCCTTTTATCACTTTCCTGTTCTGATACTTACATCAATGAACTTCTGATCTTTTATATAGCTGGGCTTGTGGAAATAATCACCATCCTGAGTGTAGCAGTTTCTTACACATACATTCTCACCAACATTGTAATAGGAATTCACTCTGCCTCAGGCAGGGTCAAAGCCTTCTCCACTTGCACTTCGCACCTCACCGTGGTCACCATCTTCCATGGGGCAATCCTTATTTTACATTTCCAACCAAAGTCTAGCAACAGATCACCTCATCAAGGTACGAGTGACAAAATTCTTGCAGTTTTCTACACAATTGTTATCCCCTTGCTGAACCCTTTGATTTACAGCCTGAGAAACAAGGAGGTGAAGGATGCCTTAAGAGGTGTTTGGAGAAGAGCCTGGGTCAAAATGATTAGATAAATTAAAAAAAAAAAGTTTCCTGATTTTTTTGAGAGGGAGGCATGGTATTGTAAATAAACTATAAGCAATTGTTCTTAAACATAAAAATGGAGTGTTCTTTGCTATAAATGATACAACATATATACTTTAAGATGCTCCACTATATTCTCAACTATTCTTCTCTACATGTACCCGATGGCAAAGGGTCTCCATTGAAGACTTGTTTTCTCTCCAGGAACAGGGCCAAGATGTCATGGGATCCTGCTTAAGTGTGTTTTGGAAGTTGATAGTCTGTCGGGCAACAATTTTTATGGATTTGTTATTTTGTATTCTGATATTTTTAGTCCTATATAAGCTGCCCAGAGTCATGTTATTAGTGAGCAGCCTTAAAAATCAAATACATAAATAAATCTATGTACATCTTCAGTGTGAGCTATAAAATCAGCTGGTGGATCCTTTAACAAATTTGTCCATGCACTTCCATTCCACATGAGAAATGTCCCTCTGGTAGATCTCCTGGGAATGAATTTTAGAAAGGGAGAGGGAAAATGGACTCATCTCCCTGAGCCTTAAACCTACCCCATTCCAAATGGAGTGATAGAGGTACCCCTGTTGGTGTTCTGTGGTGTGAGAACTTGGTTGTTTGTCATGATGGGGCTGAATAAACAATGAAGCATCTAAATGGAAGATTAATGAGGGTTTGTTTCTTCATCCACCATCCAATGACTACACAGAAGATCTGATCTAGTTTCTTATCTGATTTCCTTCTCCCTGCTGCCCAAATTATAGCCCCTTGGGCTCAGTGTTTGCACATTCTTCATACTAAGTTCAGCCATCAGGCCAAAAATGCTGATTAAAGGGACATGCTGACGGAGGGCCCTCTACTCAGTTAACAGTAGCATACTTAACAGGCTTGACCCGCATGCACACCGAGAAGCAATGGTTAAAAGTAAAA